TCGGCCGCCGCTCGGCGGCCTCGGGTCGCCGCCGCTTCCTCAGCGCCTGGGCCTGCGCCAGCTCCTCCTGCCAGCGCCGGCGGAACTCATCCAGGCTGTGGTCGTCCATCGCCACCGCTCCCGGGCCTCGCGTCCTTCTCCACCCGCCGGGTGCCACGGGACAGTCCCTCCGCGGGAAGTGTCCGCCGCGACCGGAAACCGCCTCTTCTGCGGCACTCAGGTTCCGGGTGGGCAGCCCCGCCCCGCCCCGCTCCTAGAGAGCCCCTCGCTCAGCGCGCCGCGCAGTGGGCTCAAGGCGCTCGGCTGAGGGCTGCGCGCGCACCTGGCGCCCAGGGTCTCAGCTTTTTGGCAAGCCCACCTTTGCATCAACAACTGTTTCTTCAGCAGACACTGGGCAACTGTTATATGCTAGGGGATGAGAATGTAGCATTTAAATCTGCACTCGGGTGCGGGGAGGTTAGGAGCTGGTCAGGGAACGTGACTGAGATCTCATTTGAAACAAAGTGCTCAATAAGGAGATGAACGAACTGTGGGAAGATATTTGCGAAAGAAACTATGAGTGGGCTGTGAATTCTGAAAGTGGCAGATGCATCACCTCATTCATTTTTCAAGATGCTTTGCACCTGCCGTTCCTTCCAGCGTGCGGGAATTTCTGTACCCATTTTGATCTAATTAATTCCCAGACATCCGCCATAGCCGGGTCTCCCCGTTATTCGCTCTTACAGCATCCCACACTTAGAACACCTTTTGTAATTTTATATTTGTACGATTGTTTATTACTATCTCCTGTCTTTACTGAACTGTGATTCTGGGCTTGATAGTTGGGAATTTGCAGGCTCTCAGTAAATGCTTACTGAGTGAACAACAAACTTTGGGATGTGAACTATTGTTGCCCCAACTTTACAAAGGAAGAAACTGAGCTTACCTCCCCCCCCCAAAAAAAAAATCACAATGCAATTTGCAAATCCAGAATCTTTTTTTTTTTTTTTTTTGGTAACTGCAGACCTGACTTACTAATTGTTAAATCATACAACCCAAATGTCTAAAACAGCTAGGATCTATGTGGCTGCCTCAAATTATCATGATTTTTCAATACAATGATATTAACAGCATGGTTATTTACCTGAGTTCCAGAGTCTCACAGACCTAAGGGGTAATTTCAGCAGGTTCTCTAACACAGATCCCTTTTTTTTTATTCCTCTTCTAAGAATTTATCTTAGGAGAAAAATGTTGAAGATAAGTTCAAAGAATACCTTCAAGGATGTTCACTGTTATTGTACAAAAAAAAATCAGAAGTAATCAAAGTAGTTGACTTTGGTCATTGATTAAAATAACTACGGCCAATCTGAATGTAATGAAGATCCTAACTAGAAGGTCAGTTCCATGCAGCACCTATAAATTTATCTGTTTGTTGCTATCATCAGCACTCAAAACAGTGCCAAAGATATATGATCCAGCTTATTAAATAAATAAATAATAAATGAAATACTATGTAGCTATTAAATGGTACATTAGAGAATAAATCACATAAAAAGTTCACAATATAGAACTTTTGGTATATAGTTGTTCATTATTATTATTATTATTTTCTCCCCTGGTCCTTTATACTCCCACTAGGAGTAAAACCATACAGTATTTTTTTTTTCCTTTCTGGTTTATTTCCCTAAGCATGATCCCTTCCAGCTCCACCCATGTTGCTGCAAAAGGCATGTGTTTTATCTTTTTTTGGTTGCTGAGTAATATTCCATTGTGTATATGTACCACATCTTTTTAATCCAGTCATCTACTTTTGGGCATTTGGGTTGATTCCATGTCTTTCCAATTGTAAATAAAGCAGCAATAAATAAGGGGGTTCAGGTATTTTCTTGAATCAGTGTTTTTGTGTCTTTCGGGTAGATACCTAGGAGTGGGATTGCTGGGTCATATAAAAGCTCCATTTTTATCAGTTTGAGGAAACTTCAAACAGTTTTCCTCCATCGTGGTTATACTACAAACTGGACATTTTTTAAACGCCTAATTATGATGGTCACAAATCAATGTATCCCCTTTAAAAGAATTTTTACAGAGTAGTGCAGGCAGGTTAAAGGGGCTGGTAAGATAAGAAAGAAATGCCCTAAAAGGAAGGAGAATACTGTCCTTTTCTCAGTATATTTGTCTACCATTCACTAACAATTTTTCTATTGGTTTTAAATCTTTCCAATAATAAATTCCTGAGCCTCTATTTTTTTCAAATGCCAGAATTAAAGTATGGCTAATAAAACACCTGTAAAACTCATAGTGTCCATAGGTAAACAGTAGGCACACAATAAAAGCTAGCGATGATATACACCGATTTGGCAGATTGAGGTTACATCTAGCCTATGCTCTGAAAGTCTGATGTTCCTTGAGCCCCACCCTTTCCAGAAGCAAGGATCTTCCTTGCAAGTTCAAAGCATTCAAGTCTTTTGGTTGCAAGCAACAATTCCTGCTACCTTAAATAAAAAGGAAGTGAAGTTGCAGGATGGCTCCAAAGCTCAAAGAAAAGAGCAGTAACCATCTTGGAGCTGATAACACCTGTCCTGCATCTTCTGGCATTCAAAGTCCCAGAGTAGGGTTCTTAGAGTGTGACCCCTGGGCCACCCTCACCTAGGAAATTGTTAGGGATGTAAGTTCCCAGCCCAGACTACTGAATCAGAAAGTCTGGGGCTGCAATCTGTGTTTCAACAACCCTCCAGGTGATTCTGATGCACAATCCGATTTGAGAACCATTTTCCCAGAGGATCACTTGAATGAACCAGTTTGTGTCATATTCCCAGTCTTTGATTGGGAAATTGGGATTACAGCAGGCTAGATATCTAGGACCACATGAAATGGGGGAGGCAGAGTTCCCCAAAATGGGGCGAAGGGTCAGGACACACAGAATCATCCATAAGGCTATCACAGGGAGGAGACCCTGGGAATTAGTGTTTGTGTTAGCAGCATTTTCTCTGCCTAACATCCATTTGAAGTGCGATCCCCCTGGAAGATCAATTCAGGACTGCCAGAGTCCCTGAGAGATGACCAAACAATGACCATGATCCTTTTCCCCACATGATTCCTGTCTCATCTGTCTTCCTGAGGCCAGTCACTTTTTGGACTACTAAGATGCTAGAACTTCTTCACTGTGTGTCCAGTAGGCCTCAAAAAGGTAATGAAGGTGGGAGGAAGAACAGAATTATCAGTTTTCTTATTCTCATGTACAAGGTGAGAAGGTGGAGCCACCTCCTGTGACTGCTGCAAGAAATTAACTAACTTAAACCACAATGATTTTACAGTTTTAGAGACCAAAGTCTGATTTCTTTTTCACCAGGCTGGTGTTGGCCAGGCTTCTTCCAGTCTCTTGTTGCTGTGCCTTTTCCAGCTTCTAGCACTGCTTTCCTTGGCTTTTATTTATTGTACAGAAGAACTGGAATGGAGGCTAGAGATGGGGGAGGGTGAGAGGATTCAGCAGAGACAGAGTGGGGAGCAGAACAGGTGGATCTATGCAAATACACTGCTGAGGGGAGCAGTGGGTGAGCTGGGTGAAGTCTGCTGTGCCATGTGGGTCAGCTCCCTGGCCTGAGATGGAACTCAGGTGGCTGAGTTGATAGGGCTGAGAATTAACCCCTAGGCCACCAAGGAGGCCCCCCTGCATTTGTATTTGTATTTGTAATTCGTATATGTATTTATATTTATTTGCTAGATTTGCCAGCCCTGAGCCAAGGCACCATCATTGCTCCTGGATGACTGCAGCTTCGCTGCCACCAGCTTGCTCCTGACAATGAATCACAGAGCTATATCAGAGCTCTTGAAAGAGTGAACCCAACCAGGACACTTCCCTATGTAAATCACTTCAAGGTGCTGCCACTGTTCTTGAAATAACAAACAAAATCATCTTTAAAAGCCTCTTTTCTAAGATAGTTCACATACCTTACGATTCACTTATCTAAAGTGTGTGACTCAGTGGCTTCTAGAATAGTCACAGACAAGTAACACTTGACAGCTGCCTGCAGAATTAGAGCACCAAGGTGGGGAGGAGGTGGGGGAGGGGTAAGAACAAAGAAGGAAGGAAGCACAATGGTCTATGGTGGTGGAATATGGTGAGTTGGTGGTAGGTGCCCTATGGTGGTAATACCTGATGAGGGTACCCCACTATTACCTCAATTAAAAATAAATAAAATTTAAAAAATTAAAAAAATCGATTTCTTTAATATATAGATTTTTTTGTTTTGAGCATTTCATATAAAGGGAATAACATAGATGAATCTTTGTGATTGACTTTTTTCACTTAGCAGAGCATTTTCAAAGTTCACTCAAGTTGTATTATGTGTCAGTCCTTCATTCCTTTTACAGCCGGGTAAAAGGATCCCATTGCTGAGCAGAACGCACTTTGACCATCTATTTACCTACTGAAGACGGAGATGCTTCTGTCTTTGGGCTAAGATGCATAATGCTGCTGTGAGCAGTCATGTAGAGGCTTTTGTGTTTTGCATCTCTCTTGGGTATGTATTTAGGAGTGGAATTGCTGGCTTAGATCATTTTTAATAACATTTAATCATTTGAAAAACCACCACACTGATTTGCAAAGTGGATGTACACTTGACATCCCTACCAGTAAGTGTGTGAGGGTTTGGTGGGTATTTTATACCTTCCCACGCAAAATGATCTGTGGTTTGATGAAGCCAAATCCTTTTCCTCTTCAGGAACTCCTGCACATACTTCCCACTTAGTGAAACAATTACTTTTGTTGCAGCTTTCCACTTTGCCCCTTCAACTCTCACCTGAAATGTGATATCCTTGGGAAAGTGATTTCACCACTTGATCTAAGTTATGTGCCCCCAGACTCATTTTTATCACTGAAATTGATCCTTCCCTCAATGGGTCAATTCTTTATTATTTACTTGTTGATGTGTCTCCCCAATAGAATGTAGGCTCCCTGAGGGCAGAAACTTGTCTGTCTTGTTGATGTTCCAGCCCCCTACCAGAGTCTAGATCTTGGATGTACTCAATACACGTTGGTGCTGAATGAATGAATGAATGAATGAATGAATGAATGAAAAAGTGAAATCATGAATGGGTGAAGCTCAGAGGAGGCAGAGGTGTTTCTGAGGTTCATGTCCATACAGAGTAGATGCTCAATGAAGACTCGAGCATCAGCCTACTT